TTTTTGGAATTTAATCTTTTCAAAAAGTTGAAATGCATCAGTTTGCCACTCATTTCTGTGCTTTAGCTTCATTGAGAGAAGGCATTATTAAAAGGCTAACTATATTTGTTCACTTCTGGACTTCTTACCCATAACATGACTTTATTTTGATTTAGAAGCCCTACTTTATAGTTTTTGTGAAGAACATTTAGTTTAAAATTTAGTTTAAAATTTCACAGATGTCAGGTATGTAAACTTGAAAGAAAACACATTTTCCAAGCTGTTTCTAAGAGATATAGGCTCATTCTTCAAACACACATACACACACACACACCACACATACCACACACCACACATACCACACACCCAGCTAGCATAAAAGTAGGGTATGTAAATGTATGTTTAGAAAAATTAGTTGAAGCCTTCAGTCCTTAAGATGTCTTTTTTATCTAAATGTGGTTAAACTGAGTAATTTTTGAAGCCTAGTAGGTCACAGGTAGTTTATATTTATTTTTTACTGGAAGTTAGCAATAGAGAAAACACGATCTCTTGGACTGCCAGGACTTTGGGGGCATTTCAATATGTGGAGACCATTTTTAATAATCATAGCATTACATGAAATAGATTATTTACTTTATTGAGGACATAATATCCTGATGACAACTATCTTAGTTCTGGTTGCTATAACAAATTATCATGGAGTGGGTGGCTTAAACAACAGACATTTATTTTTCACTGTTCTGGAGGCTGGCAAGCCCATAGTCAAGGTGGCAACAGATCCCATGTCTGGTGAGAGCCCACTTCCTGGTTTGTAGATGGCCATCTTGTGTTGCAAGACAGGCACAAGCAAGGGCAAGCTCTCTTGTCTCTCCTCTAAGGGCACTAATCCTACCATGAAGGCTCCACCCTCATGACTTAATTACCTCCCAAAGGCCCCATCTCTTACACTGGGGATTTGAGTTTTAACATATGAATTTTGGGAGTGGGGGGTGGGGACACAAACATTCAGTCCATAGCAATAACTTTTATACTCCACTGAAATATAAAACTGTCAGCAAAGCTAAAGAATCCCTAGCCAACCTTTTTAACACAAGGCAAAGTCAGAGTAAATGTAAACTTCTGCAGGATTATTAATGAGATGGCTGAGGATATATATTTAATAGAAGAAGAAATCACCCAAGCAGTTACAGTGGTAATGAAAAGAAGTTTATGTGTTGGTCAGTGAATGATGAGAACTTAAAAAACAGATTATTACTTTTCAGATTATTTAAATGTGTTCATGGCTAACAATTTTTCTATCATTATGTTTTACAAGTTTCATAACAATAGATGTAAGCAACAGTAAACTATATTAAAAAAAAAAAAAAGGTTGAAAATCAACTCCAACTCCATACCACTATGGTTCTGTTGTGGCACATGGTTAGTAGCTGTGGTGATAGCTCAGGATCTCTGCCTTTCTCTCTGTGCTGATTCCTATAAACTGCTGATGAAAAGCTTCCAAGGGGAGTTTTGATTAACTACTGACTTGGCTGTGTTCCATTCATTCTTCCCTTTGCCTGTACCTACACTGAAGGTAGAAATATATTTTTTTTAAGTTAATGGAGAAATGAGTATTATTAACATGTAGAACACTGGCACCACATTGAAACTGGTAGACCTAAGAGCTTTTATAATTTCGTTAGTTTACCTGGAAATAAAAATGGGGTCTGGAGTTGTGCTGTATGAGAATCGCAGTTGGAGTGGTCAGTGGACTAGGAGTCCACTTTAAAAAGACTTTTATTTTTTATTTTTTTAAAGATTTTATTTATTTATTTAACACAGAGAGACACAGCGAGAGAGGGAACACAAGCAGGAGTGGGAGAGGGAGAAGCAGGCTTCCCGCTGAGCAGGGAGCCTGATGCGGGGCTCGATCCCAGGACCCTGGGATCATGACCTAAGCCAAAGGCAGACGCTTAACTGACTGAGCCACCCAGGCGCCCCTAAAAAGACTTTTAATGTACATACATTGTTAATAGTCTGGGAAGAACCCTGAGACAAGGAGACTCTCCAGATGGTGGATATTACATGATGCATCAGGTTGAATTTTTAGTGAATGTTCCGTTGCATAGTTCTGTAAATGGTTCCAGGCTTTCCAGTTAAGTACAACTTGGATTCATTAATGGTTAGGTTGTTATCAATAAATTTCTCCACATTTGCTCTTTTCATATTCAGACCTCAGTTTGTGCCAAAGGCTTGTATTATGTACTTGGATTTTCCTCGTTGTTATGTTTCACCTCTTGCAACAGTTTCCCTCTTAGGGACATTTTGAAACTGAATGTCTGGAATGGAGAGGTGAAAATATGTTGGAAGGATATAAATCATGAGACTCTCAATGGTATTCATGTTAACTATGATGTTCTAGCGGATTGGAAAGAAATAGCTAATTACCATGTTTGATTTAGCTTAAATAATTCAGATACTTCTAATGGTAGTTTTGCCATTTCGTGATTAATTATTTAATGTTATAGGACTGCAGTTGACTGTGGTAATTAAAGGGTCATTTGATGCACATTTTTAGTAGCTTTTTAGCTTTAAAGGTGGTAAGAAACCTCTGAAATAGAGCTTGGAAGAAGAGCAGGGGAGTTAGAGGGGCCATTGATTTGAACGACACATTTTAGAAAACTAGTTTTTAAGAAACAACACAGAACACTTGGCATTGTTCATCTACGTTCAACCACACGTTTTGTCACCTTCTTTTAGATTGGTGTTTATTTAAATATTAAGCCATCCTTTCTACTTCTATATAGTCACACAATTCAGGTTGGCTCTTGACCTATATTTTGCTTAGTCATTAATATTTTTGCATGGTAGTTCATTCAGCTTCATGAAATATAATTGGCTTAGTTTCGAGTGCTAAGGAATCAACGATGGAATAGAACAGAGTCAAGGTTTTTGTGGCGAGCAGATACAAAGCGGTATTTATGTTGGTGCCAGCGATGGAGGTGGCAGGGAATCGCTGGAAGGGCGCCCCTGCAGCAATGGGACCCAAGCCTACACCCAGCGGAGAGGGTTTTGAATATCCCTTTGAGAAAGAGTATCGAAGTCCGGGTGTGCAGACTGCGCTTAGGGTGCATGCAGACATATCAGGGGTAAGCTGGTTGGGACTCGAAGGCCCAGGATGGGACAGGGAGAAGCCCAGTTCCTCAGTACACTGGCCCAGTCAGGAGCCTAGGAATCCCTAGGAACCTGAGCCAGCCAGGACAAAACTAGGGCACCACGAGCAAGGACACATTGATAGGCAGCTAGCGCTGCTCTCCTGCCTCGGGAGGTTTCTTAAGTGCTTTTTGTTAGGCTGCCGGGCTCCAAGCTTGGCTCGATGAAGACTGGGTAATTTGCCACACCTGGCAAACGCTGACTTGGAGCCGCCTGCATATCCAGATCTGACTGGTGCTGACAGTGAGGAATTCTGTCGCTGTGCCGCACAATACAGTCAAGCGAGGTCATGAGCAAAGTGCTGTCTTATTTGTGGTTCCTTCCCTTCTCCTTCAATATTTTAACTCTGAAATAAAGCTGAAAGGGAATTTCACTAGCTAGTGAAGAGGAAAAAAAAAAGAAGCCAGGTTGGAGGAAAGTCTGTACATAATCCATTCATTAATTCAGTCTTTCATTCAACAAATTTTTTTTTGAATGCCTTAGTATGTAATTCCCCAAAGTGAATGAATATTCATTTATCTTTGAAATTCAAATTCTGTTTTACTAATGAACAGCTCAGTGTTTTACCCAGAGGTACAGAGTTAGCAGCGGCAACGTTAATTTGGATCCCAGACCTCTTGCTTTGTGTAATCAGTTCTCCAGGTCCCTGTGAAGTCCTGGCTTGAACCAAAGGTGGGTTTATCTTGGCTATGAATGCGTCTGACTGAGCAAGAAATAGTAATGGGATGCATAATTTATATTGAGTTGGTGCTAAGCACTTGAGAGGTCAGAATGGGAACCGGCTGCCATAGTTGATATAAACTGCTAATGTCTGTAGAGTATTTTCAATGTGTTCGACTCTGGTGTTGAGGGTGTCTCTTCGATTGTTTTACTTAATGCAGTTTGAGTAGAATTAGGTGCCCTTTGAGCAGTCTTGATCTCTGAGGCCCTACAGACACCCCCACACCCTTTCCCCCAGGACTGTGACAAGATTGATCCCCTTTGGGCATTTGCTCACATACACAGTCTTAAAAAGCAACAAAGAATTCTCACTTGGCTCAGGTCCTTGGGAACTCAGTCTGGAGAATTCAGATTTTCCCTATTATACTTTTGTGTTTTTTTTTTAGCATTTGACAGGCAAGATGTTTTGTCTTATGTATATAAAAATTAAGTAACTGTACCAGCATCAAATATGTACTTTCAGTTGTAAATGGTACCCAAGCCAACTTTCTGGGTGCAGTAATTCAACATTTTAAAGTTGATTTTGCCCTATTTAATACACACTTATTCCCCTTTTGTGAGTAAAGGCATGCTTTTGCAAAGACCACTTTGGTTTCTAGAGTATTTTTATAGTTTCTAGATTGTGTGTTTTCATTTTATCTTAAGTAGGTAAGAGAAGTTTTAACAAGAAATAGAGCTGAGCACATTCCTCTTGGTAATGTACAGTATGGTTAACATGCTGATTACAGATTTTGTATTTGACCTAGTTATTTAAAGAATTGTTCTTTTATATCCTATCAAAGTCAAATTATATTCAGTTTAATGTTCTGAACATATCCAGGTATAGGTAGTTTCGGTAATGATGGCCTGTATGCTGTTTTTTGTCCATTTAATAAGCCTTGGATGTTTTTAAAATTGAGATAATTATAATATACGGTTATAAGAAATAATACAGAGACATTCCTATATAGTTTATATGGTTTCTCCCAATGGTAACATTTTGCAAAACTGTGGTATAATATCACGACTAGGGTACTCATATTGACGTAATCCGCCTTTCCCCATTTTACTCAGATATTCCCAGTTTTGTGTGTACTCCTTTGTGTATTTGTCTTTAGTTCTATAAAATAAAAATACAGAAACACATAATGAATTTGTGTGTCATCCTTGTGCGGGGGTCACGCTAATAATGTCTCTTGTCCAATTTTAGTATATATGCTGCAGAAGTAAGCACAGGCCCACAGGCCTTTTTGTTTTGTTTTGTTTTGTTTTTTTGTTTTGTTCTGTTTTTAATGAATCAGGGCTGGCTTCACGGGCCTGTGACCAGAGTGTTCAGTTAAGATTTAATGCTCTGGCTTTGCTGTCTTGAAATCCTTAGTTTTATGTGTGAATTTGTGTTTCATAAGTGAAGTCTGCTGGGATAATGGAGCCCGCCCCTGCCTTCCACAGCTTGCTCCCCCACCCCCTAGGACCCCAAGGACCTGGCCTCTTCCTTCACACTCTGTCCCACAACGGCTGCTGCCTTCAGTACCTGGCAGGGATGGGGTGGGCTCTAGAGCAAGAGCCCAGGACATTTCAGGACTGGACACTGATGCAGTTGTCCCCATCCCGGAGTGTCACAACGATGCCTCAGTGGGGTAAACTTCTCACTTATCCCAATTTGGGTGCCTGAGGTATCCTTGTGTAGAGATTTTCAGCGCTCCTGGGGATGGCTTGGGGTGGTGTGCCTTGGGGAAGGGAGACCCCTGACTTGACTTCCCCTCCCCCAGTAGGTGCACAGAGCTTTGGTCTGCAGCTGGATGGAGAGGAGACTCAGTACCCAATGGCGGGGGCAGTTTGTGTGCACCTGAGGGCAAATGCAGACTGGTACCCCAGGTGTGCACTCACTCTGCAGGTAACCCTGTGCTGAGGGATCACAACGCAGACTCGCAAATAAACAATACCATGGCAGGTTGAGAGAGAAACTGCAGAGGAAAGGGAAAATCTTGGTATTTTATAGTACCTTTAATGGAACGTTTCTTCTGCCTTTTGAACATAGGGCCCCGCATTTTCATCTTGCACAGGGCCTGCAAGTTATGTGGCCCGTTCTGATAGGCATAGTGTTATCTTCAGCAGTCATTTACTATACACAGTGCCCACTTGTTTTCACTGCATCATGCTATATTTGCTTCACATTTCAGGGACATAATAAGAAGATATTCAGTGAGACTGTGTGGGGACTAGAGCAGCACAAAACCCATAATGATATAAATATGTGGTGGAAAATTACAATAAAACTCTTGCATCTTCCACTTTAATTTTGCCTCAAGGAAATGGCAAAATGCCCAGCTGGCAATAACCAGTTCTAAAGGAGCTGCCAAAACTGCTAGGTGCTGAAATCTATAGTTTGTTGCTCTTCCCCATTTTGGAGCTTGACTATAGGTTTTGAGGTTGGGGTTTCAAAGCCAGAGCAGGTGCCTGCCACCTGGAAGCATTTTCTTAAGTGCCTTGCTAATATCAACACAATGAGACCTATTGAAGTGTATTTTTAAATAACACTGGAGCTGCTTTACATGTGTATACATGCCTATTGAAATACAATCATAAATAGGCCTGAAATGTTTTCATCTGGAATTCAAAGGGATATGATTTGTGTCTTGGAACAATAAAGGATTCTTGTAAAAAGGAACATGCTGATGGAAAACATTTAGATAAAATTAAAATATTTGAAAAGTTTGTAAATGTAGGTTGAAGTACAGGCATAACAAAATTCGATTGCTTCACCTTAGAACCCTACGCACGGACGTGCCTAGTACCTATCAGGCTGCAGTGCTAGCGAGGGCGAGGGCATGGTGACGAGTAAGTACAGTTTTTGGGACACATTGCAGTCTTGGAGGCCAAGGGGGACCCCTCTTGTTTCATTTGAAAGAATTAGCTTCATTTCTGTACTTGTAAATATACTGACACATCAGATCATTTCTGGATGCCGAAAGGCAGGTCCTTGTCTCCAATTGAGGTTTTTCTTTTCCTTAAAGCTAGTGTTAGAATTTTCCATGAGCATCTCTGTATATATATATTGTATTAGGGATCAGTGAACGTCAGAAGTTTCCGAGGTCAGTTTTTGTTTTAATGCTTGTCTGTACAATCTGAACAGTGTCCCAGTGCTCATCTAACCAAACAGCCACTTTGTTTATAGTTCTGCCTGACCTGAGGTATACTCTGCATAATGCGCCGGCTGTTTGCTAGCTCAGACTACATAATTCAGACTGGCTCTAGCAACATGAAGTCCAGGCATAGAGGGTTCCTTGAACTAGGATTAAAAAGAATGCACTTTCAATATTAGTTTCGTATCCTATGCCCTCTCCCAACCCTATTTCTAGAGCCCAAAATAAGAGCAACAAACTCAACAAGCAAACAAAAATCACCCCCCTGCCCCTCCCCGATTTAATAGTCTTCTCTTCTCCCTACTCAGTCTTACAGAGTTGCTAATTAGAAGCAAAATATCCAAACAATCTTGTAGGAAGAAGAAAGAGACCCAGCAGGGGACATAGATAATCTGTAAATTAGGTAATTAGTATAAGAATAATCATGACTCTGTCGTCCTTGAGTGCTTTTTCATGTATTTGGTGCAAGTAAACTGTTCAAGTCCTCCTGTGGTCCATGAGATCCACCACTTGACCTGCTTTCCTCTCTTGGGCATTTATTTGCCAAGCAGATCTCTCTGTCTTCATTCAGGCATCTGAGTCTGAGTGGGTGATGCCTCTGTTTTCACTGTACACTCTTATAAATCTGTTTTTTCTCCAAACATTACTTTCATTTTCTAATTTTTCCTTTCTCCAGCTTGTTCTCCTTTCCTATCTTGCCCTAACTTGTAGATTTTCCTCTCTCCTCTCCGTTGCATATCCCCCTTCATTGGTCACTTACAAGTCCTTGTATCACCTTGTGGTGATTCGCACTTCCCATCAACACTGAAATGTGCTCATGTTCCAGAGAGTGGAGGCATCCTGGAGGGGTTTGCACCCTGGCTCCACCACTCACCAGCCTTGTGACTCTTGGCTTACTTAACTTCCTTTCTTCCTTCTCCACATCCGTGAAATGGGGATGATTATATAGTTTATCCCTCGTAAAGTTGCCGTGAAGATTAAATGAGTTATTCCATATCATATATTTAGAACAACGCCTGGCACGTAGTAGGTGCTTAACAAATGTTAGCCATTATTAGTACTTAGTGTTTGGTTAACGGAGTTATGTGACTCTTGAGTCACCTATTAGAGTCTTATTTTTCTGGCATCACCTATTAATATCCTAGATAACGGGTTCCTTGGAATATGTTTGGAAAATGCTACTCAGGATATGTTTAGTGTTGCCATTTTTCTCAAGTCATTTTCCAAGGAGGGCAGTTTGAGGTGGAGATTCTAGAAGTAGAATCTCTCTTATGGTCAAATCCTTCTTTTGTAAAGCATCTCTCCACTAGTACGCATGGCTTTTGTGTGCCCTTTCTCTCCATGGGACAGTAACATGCGCTGACATCTTGCTACCTCAGGTGCGGTCTGCTGACCAGCAGCATGGACATCACCTGGGCGCTTGTAAAAATGTAGATCTCAGGCCCTACCCTAGACCAGCTGAATCAGAATCTGCATTTTAGCAAGATCCCCAGGTGATTCATAAGTACATTAATGTTTGAGAAACATTAGGCTAATGTTTCTGGGTCTGGAGCACCAAAATTCTGCTCTAGGGAAATAGGAAGACATCAACCTAAATTCTGTTTTACAATACATAGTATTGATTACTTCTACAAGTATAGCACTTTAAACCCTATGTGATTTCCTGGAAAACCTATATTGGCATTCTCTTGGGTGTAATTGTTATCGATTAATGTCATTATTAAAAGTGTAGCTTAGGTCTACTGGGAGCTTTAGCTCATTGAAAGAAAAAAAAAAACCCTACCTCATTGATTTGAAGCCTTCAGTCAGTCATTCTTACCTTTTCAGAAAACACTTCAGATAAATAGCAATAATCTTAGCAGTGAGATTTGTCTCAAGGGATAATCTTTCCAACAATGACTTGCATTGATTAAGTTCATTGCTTTTTAACTGTTCACTTTGTTGCTGTGGTAACTCTGTTTTAAAAATTAGGATGCATTTTCTTAGCTGGGATTGAGTGTGGGGAGGGTAGCACAAAGAAGCACATTTGGGCTTCTACTACTGGTCAGATACTTGCTGACAGTCTAGTGTTCTTGATGTGTTCTGAATATTGCTTTGTTGAAACAAGGTTCTGGTAAGGGGAGGCATTGAATATGTTTAAAGGGTGGACAACATACAGAAGGGTCAAGCTGGTATAACGAGTCTTGGTATCTCTACCAGGTACCAAGAAAGGACCTAAAGTGCTAGATTATTAGCTGGACAACTTTGCTTTTTGAACAGTTTAGTTTTATAAACCATGTGTTGTTAGAGTGTTACCTTGCCTTTTGCATACCTCTGTCTTTATGGGTGGGTGGAACATTTGGAAAATCTACAGATTGCTGTGGTTGTGGAGAGTGAAGATTCAGCTTGCTAGATGGAATTTTGATTTACGAACCACTAAATGGAGTGTATTAACTCATTCAGCTCCTTCAGCTACCATGTGTTCTTTATAATTGCAACGATAAATATTAATTTAAAATAGAATTTACTTGAGTTTCCATAACATTAACTGCCTCTCCATAAAGAGAGACAGCAGAAATACAAGACTGGTATTATCTGTCTCCCATACTTTGCCTTACAAAAGTAATCTTCCCTGGAGCGCTTGGGTGGCTCAGCTGGTTAAGCAGTCTGACTCTTGATCTCAGCAGGTCTTGATCTCAGGGTTGTGAGTTCAAGCCCTGCATTGGGCTCCATACTGGGTGTGGAGCCTACTTAAAAAAAAAAAAAAAATCTTACTAAAATGTAATTCAAATCATGTCTCTCTGTTACTTAAAATTCCCTGGTGCTTCCCATCACCCCCTGAACAGAGCATGACTCATGAAGACAGCTTCTGACCATTTCCTATGTGTACCTGGAGAAATACTTGGCATTTTCCAGAACACTTTATGATTTCTCAAACCTATGGATTTCTGACCATCCTGGTTCCTCTAACCTGCATGACATTATAGCCCCTCACCGTGCTCCCTTCTCTGCCTGGTGTCATAGCTTCAAGACTCAGCCCAACCATATCACCTCTGTGGAACCTTCCCTAACCCCATAGGCTGTTTACCTCGTGTGTTCCTACTTCTGCCGT